CCAAATGTTGAAAAACGGTATAATACAACCATCTAATTCCCCATGGTCTAGCCCAATTTGGATAGTACCAAAAAAGCTAGATGCATCTGGTACAAGAAAATGGAGAATAGTAATTGACTACCGAAAACTTAACGACAAAACAATCGAAGACAAGTACCCATTACCCAACATCTCTGATATTTTAGATAGACTAGGTAAAGCTCAGTACTTTACGACGTTGGACCTAGCAAATGGTTTCCACCAAATAGAGATGGAACCGGAAGACGTACACAAAACAGCATTTTCCACCGACACAGGACATTACGAGTTCAAACGTATGCCCTTCGGTTTACGGAACGCCCCCGCCTCGTTCCAGAGGGTAATGAACAACGTTCTTCATGGCCTCCAGAACGAAATATGTTGCGTTTACTTGGATGACGTCATAATATACAGTAAATCACTCCAAGAGCACATAGAACGCTTGAGATTAATATTTGAACGGTTCAGACAATCAAATTTCAAGATTCAATTGGATAAGTCCGAATTTTTACACAAAGAAGTCAATTACCTTGGACATTTAATAACCAAAGAAGGCGTGAAACCCAACCCAGATAAGATAGAAGCTGTGAAAAACTTTCCTATTCCCAAAACACCAAAAGATATCAAATCATTTTTAGGACTAGCCGGATACTATAGAAGATTTATAAAGGATTTTGCTAAAATTGCCAAGCCAATGACATTATGTCTTAAGAAAAATGCTAAAGTCGAACATTCCCCAGCATTTTTATCGTCATTCAACCATTTAAAAAATCTTCTAATTAATTCCCCAATCCTTAAATACCCTGATTTCACACAGCCCTTCGTATTGCTCGCTATCATCTGGGCATGTAAATACTTTAGGCCGTATTTATTTGGAAGAAAATTTCAAATATATACAGATCACCGACCTTTAGTCTGGCTTTTCAATGTAAAAGAGCCAGGTTCAAAACTTATTCGATGGAGATTAAAGCTTGAAGAATACGACTACACCATTATATATAAAAGTGGCAAACAAAACACAAACGCCGACACTCTTTCAAGAATTCCACTCAACGCTTTAGAAACAGAATCTCTCCTTAATAATCCAGGAGATATTACAACTGACATCGATAAATTTCTAAACGAAATCGATAAAAATCTTCTAGAAAAAGTTCACACTGACGAATATAACAAAATCATAAACGAACTTAATCGACCGGTTGAATTACCTCCAGTGCCTTCAACTTCTCAAGAGCCTTCAACCTCTCGAATAAAAATTCTTGAAGATATCCGAATTAAACCACCAATGGATAATACGTCCAGTACTGACACTGCTCATAGAACAAACGCAGACGAAACCCTAAATGAAATCCCAATATTAGACGAAATAATTAACAACAAAACGAATCAATTAATTGTGAAAAAATCACCATACGACGCCTACATAAAAAGAGAATTTGAAACCTTTGACGGTAATAGGATAATCCGAGCAACGATTCCCACGAAACAAGAAGCGATAGTAAATTTTCTGAAAGAAAACCTCACAGAGAAAACTACCTATGTGCACTTTTTATCAAAAGAATTACGTGTTTTATTTCAAGAAGCATTATCTAAACACTTTTGTAATTTCAAGCTTGTAGAATGCACAAAACTCATTAATAATGTTAAACCAGAGGAAAGAGAAATGATAATAAGATTTTCACACGAAGGCAAAACTAACCATCGAGGAATACAGGAAACCCTAAAACGCCTGAAAATTAATTATTATTGGAAACCCCTGAAATCTGACGTCACTAAATTTATTAATGGATGTGAAATATGTCAAAGAACTAAGTATAACAGGAATCCACCAGACCAACCTCTTGTATTGACAGAAACACCTTCGAAACCCTTCGAGATTATTCACCTAGATACACTCCTTGTAGATAAACAAAAATTCCTAGTAATTATAGACAAATTTTCCAAATATGGACAAGCCCTTCCTTGCGTTGGCACAGCCATATCAGTATCCCAAAATCTAATCCATTTCTTTTCATTTTTCGGTATCCCTAAATTGATTGTATCCGATAATGGAACAGAATTCAAGAACGAAGTAGTTAAGGATTTATTGAAAACACATAATATTAAAATCCATTTTACTACTCCAAATCATCACGAGTCGAATTCGCCCGTTGAAAGGTTAAATTCAACCCTGATAGAACACATAAGAATACTACGAGAAAAAAACAAAAATACTGACGTATCAACCCTAATGTCCTATGCTGTAATTGCTTATAATAGCACAATCCATTCAAGCACAGGCTTTACTCCCTATACATTGATTTTAGGACACACTTCTTCTAGTGACCCTATGCAACTTATGCCCGCGCAAATATTCACCGAATATGTCCACAATCACAAAACTAACACGGAAGCTTTGTATAACAAAATACAACAAGACCCAATTAATTTAAAACAAAAACTTATTGACAAACATAATCAAAAGAAGACCCCTCAAAAACTAATCATAGGGTGTCAAACATATAAAAAACAAGACAAACGACGTGGTAAATTACACCACAGATTCACAGGTCCATTCATCTTAACAAAAATATTAGAAAACAACAAGATTGAAATTGAAAACCCCAAAACAAATCGAAAAGAGATTTTGCATATCAACGAAACCAAAATCAAATCTATTGTTACAGATGGATCCTAATCTTCAACATCGGAGCAGTAGGAATAAACTTCCATAACCTGAATAAATATCCCGGACTCCTACCTTATAAATTGGGAACTGCCAAAATAGTTTCCAATCATTGGTCATTAATACAAATTCACGACCTAACACCCCTTGTTAACGAATTTTATTTGATCAAAGAAAACGCTAACTATTTAATTAAAAACATTACAAATAATGTATCCTATGAACGAGAATATAAAAACACGTTGCTGCCTTTAATGGCATTAGAAAAACGCATAGAAAACAACATAAGGCAAATTGACCCAACGAGTAGTTACTCAAAAAGACAAAAACGTGGCATCTTGAATCCTTTAGGATCATTAATAAAATGCATTACTGGCAATCTTGATAAAGATGATGCAGATCTTTACGATAGGCAAATTAGACAATTACAAGAAAATCAAGATAAACTTAAAAAAATCATCTTTTAATCAAATTAATTTATCTCAAAACGTTATCTCTAATATATCTGCCAATCAAATAACGCTAAAATCGAGAATACTGCAAATTGAAAGCACAATTAAAAAGGTTGCTCTGTCTGCTATTGACAACCATCAATACTTCCAAACTCACATAATAATTAATCAGATATCAATGCTATATCAAACAATTTACGATATCTTAGAAAAAACGGAAGTAGCTATCTCATTTGCTAAAATCAATATGCTCCATAATTCAATAATCGATCCATTAGAGCTAATAAAAGAAATTTGTAGATTTAAAAAACAATTAGTGCATGGCGTGTTACCATTAGAAGCCAATATTGATAACATATTGAACTACGAAAAAATAATCGAGATTAAAGGTTATTCAAAGGGCCTGATTATCACCTTCATCTTGGAAATACCATTGGTCGAATCGGATGTCTATCACTATTATCAATTATTTCCGATACCAATTCCAAGCGAACAAAATCCTGATTTCTTTATGAACTTTCCACACAAACCATACCTTGCACTTAGCAACAACAAGTACTCTTATATGGACCAAACCTGCAACCAATTGTTACCCAACGAGTACTTATGTAAAGAAGCCCATACTGCATACATTGATCATGAGCCTCCATGTGCAGTCCAATTGATTTTATACAAAGAAAATGCCACTACTTGCCACCCTTTCCGTATCAGACTACAAAATGTCCAAATCACTAAAAGAACGGACGGAAAATGGATAATCACAACGCCCGAACAACTAATTGTCTCAGCATCTTGTCCAAACTCTAAGGACAACGTACCGCTTCATGGTTCCTACTTCCTACTTAGCCGAATCTACAAATGAATGCAGCTTACAAATAAAGTCAATTACTCTACGAACTTATAAGCCCAATCGTTTGACTTATGATGATGTATCCTTGCCTACACTGAATTTATCGATGAATTATTACCAAACAAAGGAGTTTGCTTTTAATCCACCCACACTTGACCTGAACTCCATCAACTTGAAGGAAACCAATGAAATTGCCACAACGCTTCAAGAACAGAAGAGACGACTACAAGAAATATCCAACCCAATGGAAATGCACCAAATAAATTTTTGGACAATTTTACTTTATTGTATTTTAGGAATACTATGCATTTTTACTGTCTATAACTTATATACTTTTGAAACATCGCCGTAAACGTGCCCAAAAAGCCTCGTTAGAAGACGATATTGTAATTTAACAATTTTACTTTTACTTATTTAGTTTAATCATATTTTTTCTTTTAGCATTTTCTTTATTTTTTCCATTGTATAAAACCATACCTTTTTTGGTATGCTTTTAACTTAGGATGGAGTAGTTATATCCCGTGAGAACTCCAATTCAGCATTTATATTGTTCTATTCAGCTTATTTTTTATATTATAAAAGGAGTAATTTTTAGATTCAAGTCAGTTCTATTGTATTAGTCAAATAAAGTTTTTTAAAAACGCTCTCTCGTGTACACCCCTCGTAAGTAGAGCAAATTTTTTTTTCTTGAATAATTATGTGAATTCCTGCATTTGTAGCATAAGTTAAACTGATAGATACAAAATATGATGCTCATGTTTAGTACAGGGTACTTACTAATTTTATACCGGGTAATTCAAATTCTACTCCCACTATTGAAATTTCGAAAACTAGGAGATACGGCGATGTTTAAATTAGAGTAAAGTTGCGTAATTTGGTGCTCGAAAGTTAACTTAGCTCAAATTTGAATTAAGTCTGCATAAAAGGTGTTCGAAAATATTTATGTTCAGAATTAGCCGTACGTAGTAATTATTATTAGACGATATAACACGGATTTTTTTTAAATGTTATAATATTAGCTAGCTGTAACTCTGTTAGGAGACTTGGGCTTATTTATAATGTAAAAGAACTAAAATTTTTAAAGCCAATTTTCTTGTATGTTGTCTATAATTAATTATAAAAATATACTTACTATAGCTGGTTCAAAAAAGGGTCTATCATCATTTTTGTAGCACTGATTAAACTTTTGGCATTCTAAATCACTTTCCGACGTTAATTCCTCTGATACCTTTAAATTAAATAAATATATTGTATATAACAAAAAAAAATTTAATTACTACCTACTTTACTACTTGTTGAAGGTTGGTTGTCATCTGATTTCATTATATGTTCAGCGTTTGGTAAATCTAATTGACCTTTTCCTTTGGACTTAAAAAGTTTTGTTTTCTTTCCTGGGTAAGTATTTTGAACTTTCGGAACTTCCAAATCTTCTTCGAAAGACATATGAAAGTCTGAAGTTGATTCATCGTCGGATGAAGGCAAATATTCTGAGCCTGAGTCTTCATAATCAAAAGGGCCCTTCGCAAATTCATTACTTACCACAAATGTGTCGCTATTAAAACCCGAAAAAGTTTTTTGATGGTTGTTATTTTTGGACTCACTATCTGATATGTATGAACTGGATCCTAAAAAAATCGGAAGTACTAATTTCTCTTGTAACGGTAACAAAGAGTATCTGCAGTCTCGTTCCATATTTTTTAAATTTGTGATGGTATCAGATTCCGAAACATTGGTTTTTTCGTTATTGCCTCCGTGTTTTGATTCAAGACCTAATGTTTCCTGGGTCGGTGATAAATTTAATGCAATATGGTGAAAACTGACGCTGCTACCGTGTATTACATCATACTGTAATAAAACTTTTTCAGAACTTGATCCAGGAAATATAGTTTTTGCTTGGTTTTCGAGATCATGATTAGGTAGAATAGGTGATGCAGCTAAGGCTTCATCTTGGGTTTTGTTTATTGGTTTTCCTATTGTAGCACTCTGGTCAAGTCCACTCGTTTGGTCTTCTAGATCATCATCAGAATAAAAATTAACAATACGGTAGGTAAATGTTTCCGAGGTTGTGCTGTCAGGTCCATCGTCGAATATAGGTGATGATGTTAATGTTCGATCTTGACAAATGGAACTATTTTCAGACATCTAGAAAATTTTTTAAACGTTGCTACTAATAATAATAATATATATTTCATGTAGGGAGCACATAAGCAGATTTTGGTCAACGTGTAAGAACCGTCTACCACTTAAAACATACTTTAACCCACAATTTTAAGAAATACAAGGCAATAAAAAGACCCGCTCGTGGATAACTTTTGTGTCATAGAATTTTAACATTGTACGAGAAAGTGACAAAAAAACGATACTTATATCGGCCATCCACACAGGGTTAAAGTTTGCGAAGAATGTATAGCAATGAATGATTGGCAGACGGACCTCGAGTGGACATACAGGGTGACAATTTAAAAACTTACAATGGCTATATCTCAGGAACCAAAAAAAATATAAAAAATCGCTGAAAACAATTTCTATAGTAGGGAGGGGGAACCAAAATGGTGTAATAGCCAATCTGTTTTCATTTACCCCCTCACCCCCAGCCACCCCAACTAAATAATCTTAAATAGGAACCCCCTACTTGTGATACCTTATCTGAAAGCTATTAAAAAATTCTTTTCAATGGTACCCTACAAGCTAGGATTCGATGTGATAATTTTTGGTTTATTGGGTAAATAAAACTTCATTCAATCAAATTAAAATTGTATTTTTTTGGACTTGTCATTTTTTTCAGGTTCCCAAAACAACGAATTAACCCAAAATAATACAAGCCTAATACCTATATGTATTTAAGCCTCAAGATTAATGCTACGATAGTGACAAAAATGTTTTTAAATGTTTATTAAATTAATAACCAAAAATTCAATTCACATTTCAATGGTTATATTTTGACAATTATAACATCCAATCCTAGCTTGTAGGGTACCATTGAAAAGCATTTTTCAAGAGCTTCAGATAAGGAATGACAAGTAGGGGGTTGGTATTTATATTTATTTATGTATCAAGGGTACTAAGTAGATGATTATGCCCTGAGGGCGACAGTCTTACAAAGCCGAGGGCCTCTGGCCCGAGGGTTCGTAAGTCGCCCGAGGATATATAGTACCCGTGGTGCATACAAACTTTTATGTCATACCAGTTGGTTGTGAATAATAAATACCTGGAAAAAAAGTGTCACTTCGCAAATTGTCATCAGTGTGCAAACATCATAATTTTTTGACAAAAATAATATGTTTATCAGCGTAAATTTATATTTTGTTAATAAAGAATAAGTTAATTGAAAACTGTTGTTTGCGTCTTTATGCCCGCGCGGGCCATAATGTGTACTTTATGCCCGCACGGGCATAAAGTAATGAATTATGTAGATGGTATCTAAGGCATAAAAACACAATAATGTATTGGTATGACATAAAGAATATTAAGTTGGGGTGGCTGGGGGTGTGGGGGTGAGTGAAAACAAGTTAGTTATTACATAATTTTGTTTCCTACTTCCTACTATAGAAATCGTTTTTAGCAATTTTTTATATTTTTTCTGGTTCCTGAGATATAGCCATTGTAAGTTTTTAAAATGTCACCCTGTAATATCAAAATGTTAATTGTCCAATACTGCGGAAAAAATCGCATGTAAAAAAATAATTTCAGAGAGTCTGCCAAAGAAGGTTTTTAGCATCACGAATATTAAAAAAAATATATAGCACACGATGTTCTTGGATAGAATAACAAATACAGGTCTGTACAGGGTGTTTTACATCCTTACAATTTGGATGGTTTTAATAGGAACCGTCAATTTCTGAGCGAGATACAAAAAAATGAACCCCCACTCCGAGGCTCAAATTTCATGAAATCTCAATTATTTTCATAAACAAAAAAGTTATGAAGGTTTCACAGTATTGCTCAAAATCGAGAAATGCCCTCTAGCGGCTAAACGGTTGAAGATATCAAAATGCGGTTTGCACCAATCAAGATTTTATGAAATTTGAGCCTCGGAGTGGGGGGTTAATTTTTTTGTATCTCGCTCAGAAATTGACGTCTCCTATTAAAACCATCCAAATTTGGACGCCCTGTACTTAAAAAATAAAAAAAATCGAGTTATTAATGGTATCCTAAAGACGAAACGTCTGATTTAAAATGTGTCAGATTTACCTCATTGCTGGGAGAGTATTTAACAAGATCTAAATAAAGAGATTCTTCATCAAATTCAACTTCTTCTTTGACTATAGTCTCTGCCAAAGCGTTGATGGTTAGATTATCATCTTTGAACCAAGACAAAAAAGTCTGTTCCGATTCTAAGGCGGTATTACGAAACGCGTACAAGAGATTTAACTTGTCTGAGCATCCATTACAGATTTTTTTTGGTAGTTGGTCTTCTTTGGATATCTGTAATTGAATAAATAAAATATGGTGAGATAAACTTGAAATTTAAGTGAATATTTTTATACATATAATTACATGATATTATTTTATGAAAAACCATTATTTGATCCATTTATTTATAGTAAGATTTTTATAGTTATTAATGATACTAGTTCGATATGAACACCAACTTGTGTAACTAAACCACTCAGCTAACGCCTCGTGGTTTAACGTCACACGCGTTTCATTAATAAAGTTCATATTGAACGTGTGATTCAAAATTTAATCTACGATGGTCCAAATAGATTTTTTTCTACTGACGTTTCATAATAGCAACTTTTCGATTGTCATTTCAGTTTTGAAACGACATTCTTTTAGGTACTGAGTGCGTGAAAGTTACTTTTAGGCACTCAGTGCGTAAAAGTGACTTTTGAATGCGTAAAAGTGACTTATGAGTGCGTAAAAGTAATTTTTAAGCACTAGTGCCTAAAAGTGTCAATCATTATTCAGAAATAAAAAACAACACTAAACACATATTTGAATTTTGTTTTGTATTTATTATGAATATTGAAAATGGAATTACTGAATTGAACGTTTGGGTTACTCAAAACAGAACTTTGTTTTATTACCTACTTTCTAGGATTTTAAATATTGATGCCGAATTTTGAAAAGAAAATCGCATGAAAAGTGTCAGGTGTCAAGTAAAAGCAGGTGACAAAGATTTTGGGTGTAATCGACTTATTCACATGAAATAAAATTGTGTTTTTTTTATTATAAAATGCCAGTAGAAAAAATCTTGTATACAATACGTTACGAAACGATGTCTTTTAGTCACTCGACGTGTTGTCCAACTCGGCTTTGCCTCGTTGGACAATTTTCACGTCGCGTGCCTAAAAGACGCTCATTTCGTAACTTATTGTATAAATAGCTATTTACGCCTTGAAAGAAATAACAAAAAAAAACCCAACTCAAGTCAAATTTAAATTCAAAATTTAGCAGGTGGGCATACTTTTCGGCGAACGCGCTTGTTAATTTTTGGAATTTCGACATTGGCTGCTTCAATACTGAAGTCCATTTTTGTGTCACAAATTCAGTTTTATAGTGGAAAATAATTATTAATATGGGTGATTCTGAATCCAAAATTGTCCCTTCGGATATTTAGACAGCATCAATGAAAAGGTTCTTTTGGTAACTAACTTTCTTTCTGTCTATTTTTTATTTTATAATCTAGGTGTTATTATGAATTCTCATAATCGCACTAATGCTATTATGAAGTACCCAATGATATTCAAATGACAATGCGAAATGTGTCATAATTCATAATGCCACCGATGTTGATTAAGAATATAATATGTATTATTATCAATGTTCCAAGCAGTTTTAGCAACGAAACTGTCACTATTGTTTTGCTATTTTTGAGAGAATTTTCTGTCAATTCATGATCTAAAATGGTCATTTTTCAGTGGCTCAATTTCCAGAGTGTGACACCAACAACCTTAGTTTTCTTTTTTTTAATATGTTTTGTTTTTTTATTCAGTACTATTGTTTGTTTTTTTGAAATTTTTGATGTAACTTTTAATTAATCTTTTTAGTGCCTTTTGTCTTTTAAATTTGTTTCCTTCTACTTAAATGTTTAATGTTTTTCTTATTTTTTTTTTAAAACTTAGGCCCGGTTGCGAAATGCCAAACCCCTGTGTAGTACAGAGCGCGCGGTCCAGAAAATGCTCTGTATCACTAGGGGCTTTGTTTATGATTATGATGCGTCGCATAAGAGAAATCCCAGCGTGATACGAAGCACGCATGCATATTTTACACCTTTTACGCAGAAGAGGAGTTTCTATATAGTCGGATTTTTCGATGAGCGCATATTTGACTCTGAAAACTTTTTTCTTTCTCATCAACAATTGTCATAAGTAGATGTATTATGGGGTTTCACCATCCTCCGTCCTCCGGAGGAGATGACGTCATCTGTCAATCAAGTCACCTTTCAATCATGTCAATCAAATTTCAAAGTCAAATGTCAAAGATGTCAATCAAATTTCAAATATCTGTCGATGTCAATGTCATCAGTCATCTGTCAATGTCTAACCTACTCCGAACTAGTCTGATCTACTCCAGTGCAACCAATCTGCTCTACTCTAACCCTACCTGGCGCCATCTTTTATCAGTTTTTCGGAGTTGGTCTAGTTTATAGAAATCTATATTGGTCTAGCTGCGTAAATTTTGTAAAATAGTGAGGATGAATGAATCAAAATTTCTTAACCTGCAAAATGATTTTAAGTGGTGATGTTAGCTTAGCCTAATCGAATTGAATTTCAACTGTAGTGGTCATGAGCGCAATTTCGGATGAAATGTTTATTTTTTCCTAATGGATTATTCTATAGAATTCCAAAATATTGAACTAGCCTAGCCTAGCCTAGCCTAATCTAACTTGGTAAAGTTTGGTAGAAATAGCGCGAGTAATGAAACATAATTTCAGATAAAATGTTATTTATTAATGGATAAATAAAACATTTTTTTCGATCTTATTCATTAAACCTTGAAATAATTACATTGGCTCTTTCCTATAATTAGGACATTCTAGACAATAAAAAATAAACCACGTTTTCCTATATCATATATTATTGTAGAAAATAAAATTACAAAGAGTTGATAGAAAATAAAGACAATTTTAATCTTCATTAAAGGTATACGAATTACAATATATGCACCAGGTTATTGATAATTTCGATTGTTTAATATTCATACACGTGTTGGAACGAATTTCAAAGTAATTTTGAATTGATTTTCATTTCTTTCCAAATAACTATTTTTGATTGAGCTGTCATGTCTTGAAGGAACTGAACGTGATAATGCGTTCCGGAATCAGCGCGAACTCATCGCGGAACAACGGCAGTAGAAGTCGGACCAGAAAAAACAATAAAAATTTTGTTGAATAGTTGCTTAGAGATTCAAAAGCTAGAGAGGTTATGCCTTTTGTCTTTGAAGCTTCAGATTTTTCACTTTTCTACGTTCACGGGCTCCAGCTTTGAAGCTACGTCAGCTTAACTTTTTCTTTTACCTATACAATTAAATATTCAATCGGTGTGATTTACAGTCTTTTTCAAGTTCAATTATTCGCAATGTCCGAAAGCATGCTTCAATTAGTGCTTTAACCGGAAAAGCGGTATGTTGGTACTAGCTCGTGTCTCAACATAATAAATTTGGTCCTTCTCCCCCGATGATCTATTGACCCATCGCTGCCGTAGTATCGTTACGTTACACATTAGAGGTGCCATTACTGTGTTGAAGTATAGCTCAGTACGAAGAAACAGTGACAGGTGCTCTAAGGAACAAAAAAGGTAACATTATTCCTCATTATTCCTGGCAACCTTCAGTACAGAAACGTTCATTGAACAGAAGCGATTGTCCAGAAACTCCTTTTGGTGGAATATCACCAGAAAAAATACATTTATATTTGCACAAGTGCAGTTGAAGTGGCGACCGTTGCCAACAACTCTTTTTCTTTACGTTTGGGGTCCAAGTCAGGCTTCATTAGAGTCGTGCGCTTAAATTAGATAAATTTACTAACATTTTAACATTACTAGTGAACATTTTTGACGAGACATTATTCATTAATAAGTATATCATCATCTTTATTTATTTTTGCTAGTGGAAAATCTCAATTTTAATACAAAGCCAAGTCGGAGTCATTGACTTTGGACGAATTTTATACATTATTTTTGTACATTTTAATACGAATATTTCTTACAGGATTTTGACATTTTGTATTAGGTATTTAGTAATTTAGTAGGTAGTAGATTGTCCAATTAACTATTATTAAGGTGCTGACAGGTAATTGTATAAAAACATTATTTAACATTGGTGCTATATTCACCCTAACAATTCAATTTCAATAAGTCAAAATGCCTAGAAGAAGGTCAACCACAAATACTACAAATTTTGATGACTTCAGTGAAAAAACTAGAGATCTTCTAAGGAAAAGAGATATTTTAAATAATAAATTGAGAAAATTTAGTTCATTTTTAAATAATTTAAAATCTTCAGAACTTAGTAGCTCCAAAATAATAGAACTAGATACAAGATTAAAAGATTTAGAAGGCAGTTTACTATCAGATTACAATATTGTTCAGTTTGATTTAGAGGGAATAGATTTTGAGAAATTCAATGATGACGAGGAAAATTCGTTTGAAAATTTCTATTATAAAACCATTTCCGAAGCAAAAGAATACATTTTAGATGCTTCAAAAACCCCCACTTCCTCACCAAATGCTAGTACGTTACCAAACCTTTCTACTTCCTCTAATGCTTCCAAATTAGTCAATGTTAAACTTCCAACGATAGAGTTGCCTAAGTTTTCTGGAAGGTACGAAGGTTGGCTTGAATTCAAAGAATTATTTTTATCGTTAATTCATAATGCTGACAATCTTGAGCCAGTTCAAAAACTTCATTACTTACGTGCTTCATTAGAAGGTTCTGCTGCTCAATGCGTACAATATCTTGAAATTTCAGGCAATAACTATGATCTAGCTTGGAAAATTTTGTGCGAAAGATTTGATAATAAAAGGTTAATGATACATAACCACATCAAATCGCTTTTTAGCATTCCAGAACTTAAATCAGACTCTCCTAGAGCGCTTCGGAACCTTGTTGATTCTTTGTCAAAAAACTTAAGGTCACTTGAGGCCATTAATGTCAAAACTGAAAATTGGGATCCTTTAATCATTTATTGGGTAACTAATAAGCTAGATTTGGATACAATTCATGATTGGGAACAATATAAAATAGTTGGAGACTTACCAACCATTTCTGAACTTAAAGCTTTTCTGACAGCTCGTGCTGAGTTTTTTGATAAAGTCAATATGCACAAATTCAAACCAAAAAACTCTAATCCTAATGCCTCATTCAAGGGCAAAGAAAAATGTTTGCTTGGAAAAGCTGAAAATGATAAAGATAAAGAAACAAATGTTAAAAATAGAGCCAGGTTTTCGTGTTTCTATTGCAACAAACAGCATTCTATTTATAAATGCGACGAATTTATTGCTTTACCTCTAAAAATCAAAAAAGAAAAAATAAAGTTTTTGAAACTTTGTGCAAACTGCCTGCAAAAGGGTCATGAGGTTAATCAATGCAGACACGGCTCTTGTCGACATTGCAATGAAAGACACAACTCATTATTACATTATTTTCAGAACAAAAATACAACTAATATTGCAAGGGCGAATCTAGGTCAAGGCTTAGATTCAGAACCACAAAATTTGGATCAGACCGATCCAGTAACTGAAAACGACCAATCCACGTCATGCAAGGCTTCCTATAATAGTCAAATTTTGCTTGCCACGGCATTGGTGGAAGTAAAAGACTCCTCTGGTCATTTTCATGTTTGTAGAGCTCTACTAGATAGTGGCTCGATGTCCAATTTCATTACGTCAAATTTAGTAAAGAAGTTACAATTAACACAACATTCAGAAGACATTTCCATTAGTGGCATTGATAAGGCACAAGCTCATGTGTCAAAGTCATGTCAGATTTCATTAAAATCATTACATTCGAATTTTCAAATTAAACTCAAATGTTTGGTGCTATCTCGCATCACCGATAATCTTCCTTCTATATCATTAGATGCAAGCTCACTCGATATACCATTTTACATTCACCTTCCGAACTTTCATGAATCCAGTGAAATCGACATTTTATTTGGCGCAGGTATATTTTGGAAATTGTTGTGTAAAGGTACCAAGCAATTAGGCCCAGAGAAACCATTTTTGCAGAACAGCAAACTTGGGTGGTATATTTCAGGACCTTTGGGCTCAAATTCACAACAAAATACATTCGGCAATTATTTTTCTAAAGATATCCAGACCCAATTAGCCAAATTTTGGGAACTCGAGGAAGTTTCTCCAAATGCATCACATTTGTCCGATGAGGAACAGCAGGCTGAGTTGCATTTCCAGCAAACTTTTAAACGAGACAAAGAAGGTAGATTCATTGTATCTGTTCCCCTGATGGATTCAATTTCAAGTTTAGGTGATTCCAAACAAGGTGCCACACGACAATTCTTCACTATAGAAAAAA